GACACGGCTTTCGTTATTTACCTTGCGCAACGTGCACGAGCCGTGCATCAACTCGTGCAGAGTTTATTATAAAGAGTTGCAGTGTCCTTGTCTATCTCGTGACTGTTTAAAGGCGCCCAACATCCCTGCCTGCCTGCGCGCCGCCGACACCGTCAACGTGAGTGAGCGCAGACAGCATCGTCTTACCAGGAACTGTGCAAAGGGGAAGATCTGAAACAGGAAATGCAACTGACCCTTCTAAAACCATGTAACTTTAAAATGCACCGGCCGTGCTCGACCTGCAGCGGTGCATGTTGCACACCGTGCAGCCGTGATTGCATGTCGGTAGTTTTGCACGGATCGTTCGGTGTTCTTACCTCGGTTCGGCTGAGACATTTCCCCTTTGCTTTGATGAGGGGGAGGGGAAGCACAAAAGACTTTGCCTTCTTTCTCACTCCCTCCCTCCATCGCCCTCGCACTGGAGCTTCAGCGGCTCGCTTTGCAACAAAAGATGCAAAATACGAGCCTCGATCTTCATGCACTTGGAGCCTTTTTGCGTCCGAGGCGTGCGTGTCCGTGCGGGCAGCGCGGGTACAAGTGCACAGCGCGCACCGGCGACGGGGAAAGAGGTTATTTTGCAATTGCACTGCAAAGAATTCTCCGCAGCACTTACATGATGGGCCAAGGCTGGCAGCTGAAAGCTCCTAACTTGGATCAGTGTGAGCCCCTGCGAGAGAACGCTCTTCCTGCTTGGAGCGCAGGGGAGTCTGGGAAATGTAGTCCCGTGCAGAAATAACAGCGAGCTTATTTACGTCTCGGTGCAGGTGTGTTGAGCAGTGACAGTCACTCAACTTTAGCACCGTTTTGGAAATACTTGTACTGTATTAATAACTTAATGTTTGTGTTTATTCTGCTGCTGTTCTTGTGTACACTGTGAGAAACATACACCATATATACTCACTATTATTAATTAGATATAACATTGTAATATTTTTGGTTTTGAGTAAATATAAATTAAATCAGGCACTTTCTAGTTACCCATTTAATATGAGTGGATGCAACGAGAAAGGAAAAATAGAGTTGAGTTGATGTGAAAAAAAGTGTTTTTTAATAATTCTAATAAAAGTTAATTTAAATTTAAATATCTATGATATATAATTGAGTATAATCACCTACATTATAAATAATTGAATTGAATTGAAAGTGAATTTGACAGGAAGCGCTCTTTGTGTGTAATTACATTAGGTTGGATTCACTCTTTCTATTAGTAATTAAATAAACACATTTTATTTAACTAGAAAAAGTGACTTTCATTCCAAACACTTGATTTTTACTTAAATAAGGACACCAATGACACCATTATATTAAATATATTTTACTTAATTCATTATTTAAAATCTATATGACCACAGAAACGTTTATTACAGTGTAGTATTTTGCAAATGGAGATTTCTAAATACAAAATATATGATCAGCTCATAAAATATGATGTCATATTACAGATTACTCTACAGTGGAGGAAGTAGTCAGGTTCTTTAATGAAGTAAAAGTAGTAATATCAGTTTATTAATAGTAAAAGCTAAATGTAGTTTGAATATAAAAAGTAAAAGCTATTAATATACTTTAATATTATTGGAATGTTATTACTAATGCATTAACATGTAGCTGGTTCAGGTAGAGTTTTTTATTTTTAGTTTCAATTATTTTATATAATGTAGTTTAATCTTAATAATGCATCATGTTTTATACACTGATTACATATTGTTATGTAAAATATAACTATAAAGATCACTGCAGCTGTCAGAGAAATGTAGTAAGAGTACATTTAGAGTACATTTGTTAAAATATTTCTCTCTGAGATGAAGGAGCAGTACTTAATAATAAATAAGTAATAGAGTAAATACACGTAGTTACACTTTAAAAAGTGCCCAACAGCCCATAAATCCACATTTTAATATTACCTTTAATTAAAATTCCACATTAATGCAACTGTAACAATAATACTATTATATAATACTTTAATATAATTTATTATATTTTTATCCTTTTCTACTCTTAGCTCTACATTTCCTCTGTGCTGCTGTGCTAAATTAGAATTTTCCCTATGGGGGATCAATAAAGGAACATCTTATCTTATCATATCTTATAATATAGTACTGTATATTCTAATTTAACACACTTTTACCTACTTTACATTTTCCTGATAATACTTACGTACTTTTACTCTCTAAATACAGACGTTTGCTTCTAATGGAGAATCTTTTCATGACGCTGTCGCTCCTTTTATTTAAAAAATAATAATGATATCTAATATAATAATAATGATGAATCTTTACCTGTATTAACAGTATAGACATGTCGTATTATAAATCCTTCTAAGACAAACTAATTTATGAATAAAATTGACTTCAGTAAAATACCTGAATACATATCGCCATATTAAAGTGATGGAAGCATGAAATAATGACAATCAGGACAATTAACTTTTGTTAATTTTTAAAACTTTATTAAAAATCTTTATTGTGAGGTAACATTGATTAATGCAACAGTGAATCTAGGTAACGTCAATCACATTAATGTGCTAACAACAAGGTACTCTGACATCTACTGTGGTTTGAAGGCTTGTAAGAGTGGTTTTTATAAATATATTAAAGTAAAAAGTAAAAACCAAATTCAGCCCAGTTTAAACCTAAACATCTAATTATAGTTTGATTTGCAAATCACCAAATCAGTGCTTACTGGGTGATGAATGACAACCGTAAACAGGGTAAAATAGCACCAATATTAACAATACATTAAAAAACAATACAAAGACAGTGTGGCAGGAACATGGATACAGCTGGTGATGTTCTGTAGTTGTCTTATTGTCAACAAATCTCATGAAAACAACAGTGTGTCAGTCTGTCTGTCAGGTTCAAGAATCTTTAAAAAACGGCTCACAAATGTTGAGTTTAATTTTTTTAAAGTGATTTATTTTTATCAAACATTTCTCAAACTGAAGGAAATTTATTGGGGACTATTTTCAGAGGCGGATTAATGTACATTTGGTACTCTAGTGAGTATTTGGGACATGTAACATGTAACCCAGTGCAACAGTGTGGCTCACTGAGGTGTTTTTAATAGATTTCGGACAATGGAGCTCTATGGCACAGGAAAAAGGAAAAGGATATATCAGGCTTTGATACACACACAATCCTCATAAGGATCAACTCATTGCTGGTTTTTGGTCTTTTCATGGGATTTGTTGTCAGTAAAAAACTATAGAACTTGCACCAGATCATCCTATAAGAGATTCAAATGATTTTACACATGATTTACAAACGTCACGAGTCAGGCGATAGCGTGTTAGTTCCCAATGAAAATAGCAGTTGTATGAGCAAGATCTAAATATCACACAACGAGGAGGATTCAGATCCACGTCCCCATGATGTGATATGAGTGAGAAGTCGCTCTAGAAGGTTGGCTCGTGTGTGGTGAGTGTACGTGGCCAGAGAGCCGGGGGGGGGGAGGTTCAGTTCTTGGTGGTTATGAGGTCTGGTACAGCGGCTTCACCACAATATGGAGGAAGAGGGAGCTGTCGATGAGGTAATCAGACGTCCGACGATACAGTCGGCTTCAGCCAAGAAATCGCCGTTTTCCTCCGTGCTCTGGTGGAAGTTGTAGACGTGTTTCACCACCACCTTCCCCTTCTGGTGAGCCATCACAAGCACCGTCTTCTGGAAGTTCACCCTGCGAAATCTGCGCTGGATGTAGCCGGTGTGATGATGATGCGAGGGCGCCCTCACTTCCACACGTGTCGGCTGCATAGCGCCCGTCTCCGTTGTTCTCGGCCTCATGCTGAGGGGCACCAGCGTGGTGAGAACAGGGCGTTCCAAGTCACCCGCTTGCGTCGTGGCCGCTGGGACCAGCTGGGTCTGAAACTGGTGCTGCCGTCGTACTCGGTTGGGTTGCTGATGATCCACGGCGACCCCCACACTGCCGATAGGTAGTTCCTGGGCATGAAGAGGCTGCAGTTCACGTCAAAGTATTTGGCCATGTGCAGCGGCGACGCAGAGTGAAACTGGTAGGACATGTACAGCAGGTCGCGCACCGACTCCTGGTAGCGAGCAAGGACTGATGACTGGGTCTGCAGGCGGAAGAGCTCCCGTGGCGGCATCATGGCGTAGCGCACAGCTCTCAAAGCGTTCTCCACTGTCAGACCGTCTGGCTCATTCTGGATAATCCAGGCCTCCAGCGCTGCAAAGAGCTCCATCTCGCTCTGCAGGATGAGGTCCGAGCGCTGCAGCAGGGAATCAGCAAGTTGGCTACTGATGGTCACCCACTCTGCACTCTGCAGCACCGACGTCAGGTTCCAGGCCATGTACTGGAGACAGCTGTCCCTCAGAGTCACGTCCCCGGCCTGCAGGGCGTACTCGTACCAGCCCGCCACGTGGCCCGAGGAGGAGTCCCGGGCAAGATTCTGGGTCATGTACTGGGTTATGCCCTGCTGGAGACCCATCACTTGGTACTTAGTGGCCAGCTTGTGTAATGGTATGGCCTGGTCCAGACGCAGAGAAATCTCTCCACAGTACAGATACCTGCTCAGAGAGAGGAAGTAGAGATTGGATGCACATGAAGGAGCTTTTAAAGAACAACATTTTCTACTTCTGTAAAATAGAATGTGACCATTTAGCCTGAAACGGCTCCACAAATGTTTTTACCCACATCAGGACCCAATATTTTAAAGCTGCAATAACTTATTTTTGGCTACTTGGGGGCAAAATAACAAGTTGAAACCACAACCCTAGATTACATTATCAAACAGCAGCCATTAGTGCTCCCCCTGCCGGCCATTACATAGAATGCAGGTTCAGGTTTAAGACACTTCACAGACAGACGCTCTGTTCATTATATAAACTGTCAATGTGGCGAACAAAGGTTCATGGTATTTTGTTCAGCAGGATAATCTTCACAAATGAACTCCACCTTTATGATTTTTTAACCATAAATACGATCCCAAGAAGTAAAAAGTTAACGTTAGGCTATAAACTAACTACACCACGTTTACATGACTTCACTGTCATCACCAAAACAAAATGTGAAAATCTCTTAAACTCGTATTAACCACAGACTTTATTTCAGGCATCTCAACAAAACCCCAAAAACCTATTTACTTTGAGACAAGGGAACTGGAAGTTTTGGGGCTTTTACTGCTTTTATCTGATAGTGACAGGTTAAGACTCTTTTATACATGGGGGCACGCTCTACCAAGAGGGTGCCACTGGGTTTTAGGACTCACTCCTGCAGCACTTAGAACTTGTTTGCTTAAAACAACTGCTTGCTGCTTTCTGGAAATTATGTTTTTAAGAGCAGAGAGACTGAACATTAAAACCAAAACAATGAGCTAAAAGAGGCTAAAAAACGTTGTCATGACCCCTTTCAAAGTCGGTTGATTCATTGTTAATATGAAAATATTAATTAGTGGAGCGTTAATGACAATAATAAGTAACATCAAGGCATCTCTCCAAAAATGTATTCTGGCATTCAGTGAGAAGAAGTTTTTCTCAGTCTGGCCAAAGGCAGGTCGTCTGTAGTTCATCAGGTTTTGATCCACCTCATTAGCATTTGAGATAAAAATAGATTTTGTTATTGATTGCTGTTGCAGCACGGGCTCCACAGTGTCTTACTGCTCCACCACAGGAGCTGCTATTGAGCAACTCAGCAGCTCACTGATTGATCAGTTTGTTATATGTTGAACT